GCCCTAGCCACTCCTTGAGTCCATCCCTGTGTCCCTGCAGGACCCGGCCACCAAGTGTCCCTTCGGCGAGCGCTGCCGCTTTCTGCACAGTGTCTGCCAGTACCTGGAGGCCAAGCCGGCCGACCTGGGCCCCCACTGTGTGCTCTTCGACACTTTCGGCCGCTGCCCCTACGGTGTGACCTGCCGCTTTGCCCGGGCTCACCTGGGGCCGGAGGGCCAGAACCTGGAGAAGGAGCTTGCAGCGCCGCCCCCACCTGTGCGTAACAGCCTGGACAAGACGCTGCAGCAGCAGCTGCGGAAGCGCCAGGTGCGCTTCGAACGGGCCGAGCAGGTGCTGCGCCAGCTAAGGAGGGCCAAGCCAGGCCCCGAGGTCGCGGCTGCCGACGGTGCCTCTGGGCAGGACAGCTGTGAGGCCCAGCAGGCCCCCCCAGGACCAGACTCCGACACGCCTCCCAGCAGCTCCTTGCAGACCTGCGGGCCCCTGACGGACGAGGACATAGTCAGGCTGCGGCCCTGCGAGAAGAAGCGGGTATGTGTTTCGGGCTCCCTGTCGAGGACACTAGCAGCAGGCCTGTCCATGCAGCCCCTCTCATCTCCACTGGCTGCGTCCCAGCAGTCCCCAAGGAGCTGCCGGTTCAGACCCCCTCTCTATTCTCTGCCCGGGCCCCAGCCATCATGAAACCCCAGTTGTGGGGCAGAAAGAGCTGGACCCCACATTTCCGGTTCCTGAAATGGGCCATTGAGACTGGGGTTTTGACATTCGAGTAGAAGCTCTCCAGTGCAGGAAAACTTAGGGGAAACAGTCCTTGTGAAAGGACTGATTGGCGGGCGCAGAGGCCAAGGGCTGAAAAGTACCCAGGCCCATTGAGGAGGGCCAAGAATATCCTAGAAAGTGGGGAGAAGGACAGGCTGGGAGCTCCCCAGAGCCAGGTCGGGGGCACCTGAGCTTCACTGCCGTGTTTTTTTCCCCTCCAGCTGGACATCAGTGGCAAACTGTACCTGGCCCCCCTCACCACGGTAGGACCTGGCCGAGGCTGCGGGAATGGTGGACTGGGGGCGGCGTGGCGTCATCACAGCCGTGTGGGGACCAGGGCCGAGGTGGGTGTCCAGGTCCCCTGCCTGTGGCACCCTCACACCCCATCGGTGTCACCTGCAGTGTGGAAACCTCCCCTTCCGGCGGATCTGCAAGCGCTTTGGGGCGGACGTGACCTGCGGGGAGATGGCCGTCTGCACCAACCTGCTGCAGGGCCAGCTGTCCGAGTGGGCACTGCTCAAACGGCACGACTGCGAGGACGTCTTCGGCGTCCAGGTCGGGGCCGCCCCACGGGTTCGGTTAGGGTGTCTCCGTCTCTCGCTAACCCTCTAGCCCCAGCCGTGGGGCACGGGGACAGTCTGGTCCCCCTCCGAGGGTGGATGGCCTCAACATGGGGCTGGTGCCTCATGGACACGGAGGCCCGGGGGCCAGGTTGGACACGCTCCTCACCCCGGCCCGCCCGGCAGCTGGAGGGCGCCTTTCCCGACACCATGACCAAGTGTGCCGAGCTGCTGAAACGCACCATCGATGTGGA